GTGAAGAACATGACAGTACGAATTTTCTCAGACAGTCAAGCCGCTCTCCAGGCGCTGCAAGCCGTGAAAACGGTGTCGGCTCTGGTTAATGATTGTAAGAGAACATTAAACACACTGAGTTGTGATAACAGAGTCTCTCTGATCTGGGTCCCGGGTCACTCTGGGGTTGCTGGCAATGAAGCGGCAGATAAGCTAGCACGAGATGGCAGCGCTGAAGCGTTTGTGGGACCGGATCCAGCAGTTGGTGTATCATTTGCGATGGCCAAATATAGGATTAGACTGTGGGCTGAAGAGAGACTTCGCCTACTGTGGACCAGTTCTCCTGGAATGAGACATGCTAAGGTGTTTATTAACATCGCCACTGCCAAACCCGGGAATATTTTAGGACTTGCCCGTAGTAGTATAAAAGTTCTAATTGGTGTTTTTACTGGGCACTGCCGATTAAAAGCACACCTCAACTTGTTGGGTTTAGCCGACGATGTTGAATGCCGACTATGTGCGGAGGAAGCAGAGACGGTTGAGCATGTTTTATGCCACTGCCCTGATTTTTGGGTCGCAGTTTATCTCCTCAAAAGATCTGAATGACCTTTCGCCGAGCAGGGTATTAATGTTCGTTAAGAGCATTAGACTGCACGTGAAATTTGATAACGATATCTATCGGGGTACAATAGATCCTTAGGGTCGCGGTGCAAGGTTGGTTGGTCCGCCTACCCGATATGTATTCTATGTAATGTAATGTATACATACAATTTCTTTGGGTAATTCGGATATGGAATTCTTCCATATCCGAAGTACGGCCGCCAGCACAGTTCTTCCAAGGCTTTGCAAGACACTTCGTCAACCGCGAAGGTCCACGTCTGTCCAAGTCCGGATCTGGTGGTATTCAGAACTGTCCATTCGGATGTGTGGAGTGAGTTGTTCATCACCTCCAGTCGGGTTAACACCGTCTTTTTAGCGAAAGGAACACCAGCTTCATCGTCTGGGATATATGCTACACAGACGTGCGGTCTGGGAATATTTTTCCCCTCGACCGCCTTAATCTGGGCATCCTCCCATGGATGAAGGCTGATGATGTTGGCTGTATTCACAAGCCAGTCCTTCGAGCAGGCGTCCGCGCAGGTGACTAAAAGCCTCCCTCCGTAGCAACCCCACCTGTTCTACATGGAACTGCTGGGCGCGATAGTCTGGGTGGATTAATCCAACCCTGATACCGCTCACAGCAAATTTGTAGGTTAACTGCTTCTCTGAAACAGCTTTGATAGATTTTAGTTCTAATACGTCTATCATTGCTATTGAGGTATATGACTTTCAAATCTCTGCAATTCCTTTGCATTTTACCACTTATATTATGAACATCGTCGTTATTCTGTATCTTCTGTATCTTTCTCGTTAATAATTGTTAAATTATTTTTTTCTTGTGGTGTTATTGTTGCCGTTATTGATTGTTTGTTTTTAGCTGTAAAATTTTTAGCTGGAACTGGAACTCGGTATGTATTTTAAAAGAGTATACAAAAAAAGAAAGTATACATTTATTCTAACGCAAAAATTTTACATCAATAAAGCATAAATCTAAATAAATCAAAAAATCTGTTTCAAAAAAATAATAAATCTTAATTCAAATACTTAACTTATTTCTCTTTCTTAACTTAACAATATGTAATTTAATCACCAATAACCTCTTCCCCCCCTTGACTACCATTATCCCCCTCATTCCCACCCACACTTTCATCTTTAACAATTTTTGGGACACTATGAACTTTTTTAACATACGTTTTCTTCACAACCGGTTTATGAACGGTCGGTTTAGGATTTTGATCGATAATCGTTTCCATCGTGTGTCTCAACGGCATCGGTTTTTGAACGGTTTTCCTCAACAAAATCGTATCCCCTTTCATCTCAATTTTTCCCTGTTTCGCCATCGCCTCAATTTCAGCTTTGGTCATCATCAATTTTTGCACCCTCAACGTTTTATCGCCTATTTTCATATCGACGTATTGCTTATTCGGGAGTGATTGCAAATCTTGCACGGTTAATCCAAGATTTTCAATCGTCATTTGATTCGATTCTGTTGATTCTTGAGACGAATTTTTTTGGGAATTTTGAGAATTTTCGGAGTTTTGAGATGAATCTTCTTGGGTATTTTTTGGTTTTTCAATTAACGTGGAAGATTTTCTCGTATACACTTTCGTCCCTTCGCTTCTTACGATCGGTTTTATATCGTGTTTTTGATTCTTTTGATTCATCTTTTGAGTTTTTTCGTCTAAATTTTCTTCCTCCATTTCCTCCCCGATTTCCTCCTCATCGTCATCCTCATCATTCCCTTCCTTAATTATTTCATCTTCAACATCAGAGCCTAACTCGTCCTTTAGAAATTGGGCGTAATTTTTTATTTTATTCGTTCGTTGAGGTCTTCGCACAATCTCGGCGTCCTCCGTGTTTGTTATTGTGAACTCAACGACGTCGTCGTCTTCTTCTTCGTCTTCATCGTCCCCCCTGGCGATTTTATTAGCTTCTTCTTGAGACACTTCTTGCTCGATTTGTTCTTCGTACTCCATTTCTGCGTGTTTTATTTCGTGCTCTTCGAGTTGATCTTGCGTTTCGAATGAGTAATCGCATTTATCGCAATGATATGGTAACCCTGAGAGGTGTGTGGTGATATGGTTCATAACTTGTTTGGCGTTTTCAAAGCTGGTGTTACAAATAACGCATTTTAAATTAACCATTGAGTGTATCGTGCTGTGATTAATCAAAGAATCTTTTCGCTTAAACGACATTGAGCACAAATCGCATTTATGTTGTCCCACGGGTTGATTGTCATTTCGCGATGAGTAATGACTCCTCATATGTCTCGTAAGGTGATGCGACAACAAAAACGTTCTCCCACAAACTTTGCAGGGGTATGGTCTTAATCCCGCGTGCGTTGTAATGTGCCTCATTAATTTAATGGGGGATGTAAAACTCGCCTCGCAATAATTACATTTATGTGGTTTTTCTTCCGCGTGAGTTACTTCATGGCGCTCTAAACCTTGTTTAAAAACGAAACTTTTATTGCAAATACCACAAGTGTACGGCCTCTTTTTATTGTGTTTCACAACATGACAGTCTAAATCATCGCGTGTCAAAAACGTTCGATCGCAAGTTGTACATAAATATTTAGGAACGTCGACGTGAGTTCTTTCATGTCTTTGTAACAATGCTTCTCGAGAAAACGACTTATTACAAACAACACACTCAAATGGCTTATTATTCGAATGTGTTTGGATATGTTTGCCTAAATCATTTTTCGTGAAAAACTTTCGGTTACATATTGAGCATTTATAACCTCGTTCGCGTTCGTGATTTCTCATATGTAACTCTAAAAGTTGTTTTAATGGAAACGATCGTTCACATTGATCGCAAGGAAAAACGTCGGTTTTAACTTGAGTTACTTTTAAAATCGGGTTAATGTTGTCTTCGTCGTCACCTTCTTCTTCGCCTTCATCATCTTCATCTTCTTGTTGAAGGTTGGTATCGGAACGGGGACTTCCATCGCAACATAACGAAGTAACTTCAAATTCGATGGGTGGTGATTGCGAAGTTTCTTCTTCGATTTGGCTTTGATTATTAGGTTTTATGGGAGATACTATTTCCGGTTTTGGTCGCTTTTGCGCCAAAAAAGTTGATTCGGAAGATGTTGATGGTTCTTGGGAAATTTGCCGCTTTTTAGCAACAACCTTTAAATAATACAATTAGTATATTAAAAAACTAGTTTCGTAAGACACGAATTCAAGTTGAATCATTTTAATCATCTTTAAGTCTTATGAAACGTGTTTTTTATGCTATTTTTTGTAATTCGCGTTTTTATCCCTTTTTTTAACAAAAATAAAATAAATTTTGACAATATAGGAAAATAGGTATGTAGCAGTTGGTAACAATGTAACACTTTAAAATAGAAATTTGATTGACAATCAAAACACAAAATGTATTCACCTGAAAAAAAAGTTTAAGAAAGTAAAGAAAAATTGCTCATCATTGTGTATTCGATGCTAAGAACGAGTTTAAACATCCATAGACAAAAATTGTCACATTAACAACTAGAAAAATGGCACCAACTTAAACTGGTTCCATTAAATGTTACTAAAATCTGATTACAGCATCGGATGCTGCAAGGAGTCTCATTACAGCACCCCTTTGAGTACTGTAATAGCATTAATTACCGTCGCGAATTACAAAAAATAATTTAAATTAATCAATAAATGTCGTTTTTGACAGAAAAATTCAAAACGTCAATGTCAAAAAAAAAATTTTGAGGTTAAATTAATTTTTTAATTAAATTTTACCTGTAATTTAAGATCCTTCAATGAAATTTTCTGCAAATTCCTCAAATCACCTGTAGCCAAATACGATTTAAGCGCGTCATCTGATTTTTTACAGGTTGCTTTGAAATTATACGCTTGTTGAGTGTGAGTTTTGCACTTATCGCAAATAAGTTGAGGCATTCCATCGTTTTTAAACACCTATATAACAGAAATTACAAAAAAAAAATAGACATCTACTTCAAACAACCTTCTAATACTAAAACAACAAAATTACAGAGTTCTAAAATACAAAGTTTGTTTTGATTTGATGGTTTTTATCTAATATAACAAGATTGTTTACCTCTAGGGCTACACAAGCCATTATTTGAAGCGGTAATGGAACGGATTTTCCGTCGTGTTCGTAGATGTTGACGAGAGGGGCTTTGTCGTCTAAACAGAATCTGCAGATCGCCATCGAACGTAGGTTCCCGGCCCGATCTTCCGAAGCCATAGTTTGCGATTTCCTTTTAAAACTGCTTTCGAAAAGGATAACAGCAACGAAGAAACTCTCTACAATGACGCTAAAATGGTCGCCGGTTTCGCTTTGGCAATTCAAAACTTACGATTTACACCGCCAGGGAGACAATCAATAATCAGTTGGGCTAACCATATGTAGATGGCGGTAGAAAATTTAAAAATTAAATATTTAATAAAATATAATAATAGCTATGTTATTATTTAAGATTAAGTGAGACACTTTGCGGCAAGAGGTGATGGACTGGAAGCAGGTGCTAAGAGAAAGCGGAGGCAGCGTTGCCAACCTATCAAACCGGTCGATAGAATCAATAGTAAAAATTTAAATATATTATAAATTATAAATCAAATTATTTTTGACATGGTTTAACCTTTTCAAAGTAAAGAAAAAACGGACAAGTGTTTCGTTTCTTTAATCATTAATGTGTGGTGTTTTGAATAATAAGTGACTTAAAACCTTCGACGTAGGCAACCAAAAATACATATCATACATTTTAATTTTAACTTATAAATATTAGATTTATTTAAAAATATAATACAATTTAGTATATTTAAATTGGTTTTAAACAAATTAATATTCATACGTGTATTAATTTATTTTATTATTTTATTGAGTTAAAGATAAGAAAAAAAATCAGAGGTGCCATCTAACGGTTGTGTTAAGTATTTAACACATATAAACAAATTTTTTTGAATTATTTATTAAATAATTTGTTGTAGTATTTATTTATACTGTATTATAAGTATTTATACGGTTATTCGTTGTTTCTAAAATTGATTACACAATTTTAAAAATTTAAATTTAAATCCTAACGTATCATTGTTATTCAATTGTTTTAACGAAAAATTTCGTTTTGTAAACGTTTTCGGTTTGTCTTGTTTTAGTTAGTTTTATAAGGAAAAAGTGGTGAATTTGTGGATATTTTAATAGTTTTTACATACACAACAAGGTGAGTCAATAATACATTATCCTATATCACTAATTAGAATAAATAAATCACATAATTTCAATAATTTCGTTCATATCCGAATTTTAGGTTAAGTTAATAATTTACATTTATTTAATAATAAATAGTTCTCAAGACGAGTTTCGTTTCTGAAAAAGCGTAAAATGTTGGATTTAGGACATTTAGCTTTAAAAGAATGCAATTAATGGAATTGTTTAGTTTGATTGCAATAAATTGTACAGGGTGGTTCAAATTCGATGTCCGAATAGGCTAACTCGGAAACTATAAGAGTTAGAAAAAAAGTCATAATATCTCAAAATCTGAGATAAAAAATGAAACTCAGGTTAATTATGCCTGATTAATTAACTTAACCTTCATGAATAATAATCCTCATTATATGCTCATGTAATAATTAGGGCACGGAACTTTTGTAACAAAACGATTTTTTCAATAAAAATATATATATAGAAATTTTTTTGAGGTTATGTTCTTAATTATTGATCAAATCAAAAAATTTTATTAACAATGTTTGTTTAGAATTACTTCAGAAACAATGTTTGTTAATAAAATTTTTTGCTAACTTGAAATTTTAATTTCCCTCTGAATAGTATGCTATCAAAATTAATTATCTCAATAACTATTGTTTCTATCAAAAAATGTTTTAAATAAAATTTGTTTCAATTTCGATTTTGAATCAATTATCTTAATAAAAAAATTTTACATTTCTATTAATTAAGCATCCAAGTGTAATTATGTATAAAAACGGAAAAATTATTATTTTGAGGTTATCTCCTTAATTATTGATTAAATCAAAAAATTTTGTTAACAATGTTTGTTAAGAATTGCTTCAGGAACAGTGTTTGTTAAAACAATTTTTTTCTAACTTGAAATTTTAATTTCCCACTGAACAGTATGGTACAAAAATTAATATTTTTGAGGTTATATCCTTATTGTTGATTTAATCAAAAAATGTTGTTAACAAAATTTGTTTAGAATTACTTCAGGAACAGTGTTTGTTAATACAATTTTTTGCTAACTTGAAATTTTAATTTCCCTCTGAATAGTATGCTATCAAAATTAATTATCTCAATAATTATTGTTTTTATCAAAAAATGTTTTAAATAAAATTTGTTTCAATTTCGATTTTGAATCAATTATCTTAATAAAAAAATTTTACATCTCTATTAATTAAGCATCTAAGTGTAATTATGTATAAAAATGGAAAAATTATTATTTTGAGGTTATCTCCTTAATTATTGATTAAATCAAAAAAAATTGTTGACAAAGTTTGTTTAGAATTGTTTCAGGAACAATTTTTGTTAACACAATTTTTTTCTAACTTGAAATTTTAATTTCCCACTGAATAGTATGCTACAAAAATTAATATTTTTGAGGTTATATCCTTATTGTTGATTTAATCAAAAAATGTTGTTAACAAAATTTGTTTAGAATTACTTCAGGAACAGTGTTTGTTAATACAATTTTTTGCTAACTTGAAATTTTAATTTCCCTCTGAATAGTATGCTATCAAAATTAATTATCTCAATAATTATTGTTTTTATCAAAAAATGTTTTAAATAAAATTTGTTTCAATTTCGATTTTGAATCAATTATCTTAATAAAAAATTTTTACATCTCTATTAATTAAGCATCTAAGTATAATTATGTATAAAAACGGAAAAATTATTATTTTGAGGTTATCTCCTTAATTATTGATTAAATCAAAAAAAATTGTTGACAAAGTTTGTTTAGAATTGTTTCAGGAACAATTTTTGTTAACACAATTTTTTTCTAACTTGAAATTTTAATTTCCCACTGAACAGTATGCGGTTCTTTTAATCAGAACGAGTGGAGGGGGGAAATTTTGTTACAAAAGTTCAGTGCCCTAATAATAATATACTATTATTTTTAGCTTTATTCTAAAACAATAAGGAATAGCAATAGAAGCACAATAGAAACAAGAAATAGGTATCTGTCAATCAGTGGTTGTTTCCATTTAAAAAAACGAAAATTGTCATATCTCAAAATCTAAAATCGATATTTCGAATATATATTTCGAAATCGAATATTTTTACGAAAAACGAGATCATGAGATGTAAACTATTTTTTTTCTAACTCTTATAGTTTCCGAGATAGCCTATTCGGACATCGAATTTGAACCACCCTGTATTTGTTTATTGAAAGATCATTACTTGTTAATACTTAATTTGTTACGAGGAAGTTTTTGTAACATTCTAAAGCAAACTTTTACATAAACCCCAAAAGAAAAATTGCTAAATTTACATAACTTTCTTTTCTCTTTTTCTTAAAGTTTGTCGCATAACGATTTATTACGTATTCAGAAAACGTGTTAAGTAATAAAAGAGGTGAGACTTTCACTTTAATAAAAATATTTAGCGGGGTCAATTAAAAATTAAATTTTTTTAAAAAAATCTTTATTTATAATAGTTTTTAAAAAGACATTTTTCGCTCAATACGGTGTAAGTAATAAATATACACGTCGTTTTTTTATTATTATTCTTTTTTATAGAAATTACATCACATTTTTTATATAAAAATTATTGATAAAATGTAATAAGAGAAGGATTTAAAGGGAACTAAGAAAAGATGAAGGAGTTTTTAGTTTTTCTTTCCTGGTTGGGGGGCTGGCTCATCTTTGTACCAATCCTCACTGGATAATAAAAGAATTAATTTATAATAATAATAATAATAAGGAAAATTTACCATCCAGGAACATTTTCTGGGGCGTCACATTTTTGTAAAACTTCGTTGTAAACTTCACCAACGGTGCAACCTAAATCTCTAGGTTCAACCCCGTTTAAGCAGACATAAAATTTCTGGCAATCGTTGGGGTTTGGGAATTTGGGGTGGATGTTAACTTGTCCGTTTTGATCCGTATGGCTTTCTTGGGGACACACGAACCCATCATCTAATTTATCTAAACATAAATTTGATACAAACAAAATCATTTTGAATTCAATTTTCTTACTTTCTTTAGCTTTGCATCCTTCTCTTTGCGCAGCTTCGGGCCAAACGCAAGTTCCACTAAATTCATCAAAGTGCAAACCAGCTGTACATTTAATTTCGGTGTATTCGCCCTCAATGCAATTATAAAATATGTTGCAAATACTCGGATCAGGATGGGCGAAGAAACCGTTACGTCTCGGGCAATTTCCTTTCGGTTTTGGGGGTTCTAAAAGAAAATTATTTTATGTAGAAAGAAATTTAGAAGAAATTAATTAATTAATTACGCAAATTAACTCTGTTTCCACAATCGACGTTAAACGGTTGATCACATTTATTAATTTTTCTTATGGTTGGGTCAAAAACTAAACCATCGGGACAAAGTTTTTGGATCGGCTCGCCATCTCGGCATTCATAAAATTTATCGCATTGATCTGGATCTTCGTATTGACCATCTTTTGGTGGACATTTAAATACTTGTGCATCTATATTAAATTGGAAATTAATTAATTAGAAATTAATAAATTCGAAATGATTGAATTGTAAATGATTAAATGGGAAATGATCTTTTGAAATGAAATTGCATAACGTACATCTTTTGCAAGTTAATAGGCGTGTTGACCTTTAACTTTTAAAAGAAATTTAAAATGTCAATGAAGAATCGTGAGATTCAAAGAGATGATGTTAAAAAAGAAATGTTATGTAAAAGTTTTTGTATGAATCGATTTGTTTAAAGTAGTATTGTAAAACAACGACATTTTCGTATTTTTCTCGACATTTAAGCATCTGAGAAGAAAAGTACTAAAAGATTTTCTTGTAAAACAACGAAATTCAAATGTTATGTAAAAGATTTTGTTAGAAAACTTTTAAATTGATCGATTTGTTTAAAGTGAAAGGTGTTTAAACCGGTTTTTGCTGGGACAATTTCACTTTAAAATGATTTAATACAAAGTTCACCCATATTGTACATTTTTAACACTTCATAGTTAATTTATAATAATTTTTGTAACTTTTCCCCCCCAAATAAAAATTAATTAATTCAAAACTACTTACATGTTGATGATAATAAGCAAAATACAACAAAAATCACCGTTGATTTCATTTTAAATTGAAAATTAATTTTAAAAAAAGTATAAAAAATAATTTATGAAAAAAATTAAGTTTTATGTGTGTGGTTTGTTCTTGTAGAAAGGTTCACCACTTCAAAAGAACTACAGTTGGCGTTCTGGTACTAATATATAAAAGCTTTTGCTTGACAAACAACCAAATGATTGGTTGTCGTCACTTTTGAAAGTAAAATCGGTTCGGATTTAGCTTGGCCGTTTGCTTTTAACTCCTTCCCATACGAAATTCTTCTTTCGTACGAACGCCCCGTTGGCATTCTTGAATCGATTCTCACAAATTTAATGCATAAAAGAAGAAGTCGAAGTTTGAGAACGTGCTCAAAATTTCTAAAACAAAATTCTTTAAATTATAACAAAAACCACAAAATTTCTATTTCACACTTTCGTGGTTTTACGTTTTCTTTAATTTGTGGTAAAAAATTTCGTTTAGGGAAAGTTGATTTCCTTCTCTGTTCTTAGGGAATTCTTCAAAATTAATTATTTTGTCAAAATTTGAAGTTATTTTATTTTATTACAATTAAAAGTAAAAAAATAATTAACTCTTTGGAAAGTTTGCTGCGATTTTTTTTAAAATACCTTAATAATTAAAATTCTAAAGGCCTCTATATCCACTTTTGTGACCTTTACAACTTTTACCGCGACCTGACCTTGGTGAAAACAGGATAAAAACGCACTCGCCTTGTCCTTTCTCGATCTTTTCCAGAAACTCCTCCACTTTAAAACCGATTAAAATTGTGAAAAATAAATTAACATGTTTTTCCAAAAAGTTGATCGTCATTGTTTTATGTAATTACATTAATTTTATCGCTTAATCTTGATTACTTCTTAAGTTATCAATTTTTTTAACACAAATAATTAATTTCAAAGTATTTGTACCATTATGACTAAGCTTTTTTTATTTCCTAATAAGTTTAAAATACTTTCTAAACATATCAAAGTCAATTCTTTTAATCCTTTCTTCTCTTTTAAGTGTGCAAAAAACAAATTTGAAATTAAAAATTTTTAAGTTTTTGACATATTTGTAATCTTCATTAAAAATCCTTTAAAATGAGTACAAACATGACATATTTATCTTCAATATTACTGAAATTATGGTCAACTTCCGGTTAAGAATGTCAACGTCAATTTTGACATATTTGTAATCGTCGTGAAAAATCCTTTAAAATGAGTCCAAACATGATACGTTTAATTCCAATATTACTCGAGATATAAGCAACTTCCGGTTTGAAATGTCAATGTCATTTTGACATATTCTTAATTTTTATAAAATGTCTTAATATTTGTCACAAAAACAAAAATATAATAAAAAAAAAATAAAAGGTACTTCCCCTTTGTGTAAATAAAAGCTAAAG